TCAACATTACAGTTATCAAAGCCACTCTTTATTCAACCGCGATTAGTGGCGAAGTGGAATATGCTGTTCACGAATCGTCAGCGAAAGATTTGGTTTTTATTGCCTCTCGATGCTCTTCTCATATTACTCCGGGCACATATACAATGAGAATTTATTTCAATCAAGATGGAGCCAGCAATTTCTCGGTAAGGCCGTCAACCATCTAACCCTCGTAGCTTACTCGATTTTCTCGATACTTACATTGAAGGGAAATCTCTTCGTTTTCGAGAAGATCCTCACGTAGCTATCAGTGTGGCACTCACAGTGAATACCAACGGAGACGTTAATTCAGGAACTCTTTGTAAGTTGCATTCCAAAGCATTGTCAGCAAGTTTGATCGGATTTTTTGTGATCGTTCCATTGAATGAGTTTGATTACATATTTCAACCAACCACAGTAGTGCCAGTCAAGCTGATCGCTCCGACACATCGCAGCCTTAAGTCACTTTGAGAGACGGGAATGCGCCCACAGGAATGAAGACGCTTGATATTCAAAGTCAAATTTAGAGAGTGCGCAGCCGTGATATACTTCACTCAAAGTGATGCTGTACTTTTCTGGTAGAGAGCCGTCTGCCAGATAATGCAAGTTTGAGAGGACATTATAGCTGCACAAGCTTCGTCACTGTAAGATGATTGATCCTGACGGCAGGGTTTAAATTGCATGCTACTGCGGGCAACAAAACGCAACAAATACGCTGTTTCTTTGATTTGCATGGAAGTGAATGCATGGCCACCCCAGAAAAAGTGTTTTGCAAGTTAGTGCAAACTATAAGCAATCGAGGGGTGAAACTCCAGTTCGGGGGGGGGGGCACTCCATTTTTTCTCCAATACTCAAGATAAGGATTAGAGGGCTCACGACACGTAATCGACTCATTTAAAGTAGACTTCTGATAAATATTGGTGTAATGGGTGAGAAACCCTGAAACGTTTTCACATTTCCGCCTGCCATGACCCAAGGGAACGGTCCTGGACCAGGAGAAAGGACACCTCCGCAAAGGGCTAAGGGTGCAGGAGCTCCAGGGTGGATCACCTGTGCAGAAAAGTGGATGGGATGTGGGCAGGTAGTGTGGAATGTAGGACATCCACCGGTCCTTATCAAAAGTACGCTCGAAATGAGTCGTTCACTTATTATCTTATCCGTAGTGTTCGATAGCCCAAAGAACTGCTCTCTAGTACTACGGATAAGATAGCAATGGAGTGGCCCCCCCGAACTGGAGTTTCACCGTTTGCGGTAAATGCTCACTTTAGAAGCGAAGGCACGCTGGGTGTGTACAAGAATCAGAAAAAGTCGTTTCGTCCTGTCGCACATCATCAAATTTTTTCGCCGCAGAAATTGCCTCCGTTGACGGAAGTTTTACAGCAAAATCTTTCCCCAAATTCCCCTCAATAGGCAGAATGAGGGCCCTCCTATATTGCACCCTCCGTCTTCAGAATATGATGTCATCTGGTCGAAAATGGAGCTTGGGAGGCATTCAATTTGCTTTGCGTCTCATTTGAAGTAAGTTCTCGATTGAATCGGTGAAACGGCCTACATCATCGGTATCCAATCAATTTCTCTTGCGCATTTTTAGGGTCTACCCATTGTGATGCTCCTCTCCCCACTCTACCTTTTCCCCGTGGGCTTCACAGAAATATATGGATCTTGGCTCTTGTTCTTTCTCCGTGCAATTCCAATCTGATTCAACCGGTCCTGAAAAAGCTCCTTTGAATTGAAAGGTTTTCACGTCTTTCCCCCTAACGGTATCAAAATTCTTATTTGCTATAGTCATCGTGAGGCCGCCAGAGCAGATGGGAATGGCCCCTCCAACTCCATTTTCATCGTCATTTTTCATCGCCACCGTGCTCAAGGAGGCCTGCCCGTAATCGTTCAAACCTGCTACATAATCCTTCGATCGTTTAAGTATTGAGTAGCTCTGACTGTGCGAAATCCTCCTACCACCGTTCAGATACATAATTTGATTAGTTCTGGGTAATTTATTTAGTCAATTCTGCTCTCAATGTGAAGGGATAGTGACTTATTATGTCCCCCTGCAGTCGCAACATATGCTGGGTTTCTGAAGATAATGATCGTTACCGTGAATGGAAGTGGGCTAAACTTAAGGGATTAGCTTCAAATTGTACTCTCTGATGATGAATATAGGGAAAAATGTGCGTTCCCCAGAATATGAAATGTTTCGACAGGGCGCGATGTGATCAAGCTATAATAAACCTTATGAGACGAGAAATCGCCTATTTTCAACACGCGTCGATCATCTGCGCAGCAATTCAAAGAGATGGACTGCATTTTTTCCTTCTTGTTTCTCGACTTTTATGAGTGTGGTTAGTCAGCAAATACTTTATGCAATACGAGTAAGGCGCCTTAGAAGTGGGCTCAAATGTACGTTGGTCAACTTCGCTCGCCAAAAGCTGAGAAACGTGACTACAATTGAGACGTAATCATTCTTAGTTGACGAAAATTCAAGAAAAAAAAACGTTTCTTTCCACGGACAATCAAGCAATGTAAGTGCCTCTCCTGCACCGATTTTCTGAGTTTCAATTTTGGAGACAACCTGCAGCAGAACGTTATCACCTTTTGGACTTGCAATCTGCTATTGATATACTGAAGGCCCGTTTCTAGAAGTCTCTATGTACGGCTTTAGATGAACCTCGGCGTGGTGGCGCTAGTTGATACCTTCATAACTCTTCTAGGTTGATAATTGATAGATGGCCTTTGGATGACAACTTTCGGCGGGGACGCCTTCTTCAGAGCCGGAGAGGCTTGACAAACAGTTAATTGACTACCTGAACCAGGGTCAACCGTTACGTTGGACCGATATTGGAGCGACGTTGGACCGATGTTCACCGCTCTCCGCGCCGGCATTCACTCTCGCCACCCGCGAGCCGTCTGTGTCTCCGTGCGTACGTTCACTCTCGGCATTACTCTCGTCGTCGCGTTGGACTTTGTCCAACGGACGGTTGACCCTGCTCTCTTGAATCACAAACGTCTTATCGCCTCGCTGCTGGTTTTGGTGGCCTTGAGAACCGGACTGTATTACGGTAGGTGGCCCACCTTTGGATTACGGGATGAGTCCTTTGATCTCGAACTTCAGTAGGGTTTTAGCGGTTTAAGACATTTGAAAGAGCTGGTGGAAGAGTAAAAAGTCAGAAAGATATCAACCAAGCACGTTCTGGATTTGACTACAAGAGGAATCGTTTGAGTGGGTTGCAACAGGGTCAAGCGTGCGTTGAGGAATCCTCGACACGTCGCAGGGGGGGGGGGTCGTATTGGCCCGCTGGGTGGAAGAGATCGAGCCATTTTGATGCAGTGGGATCATCACCGTCGGAAGACAAATATCAAGGATGAGTCGATGCCAGGCCAGAGGATTTCCAATGAAAATGATATTTCACCCACACAAAATTTTCGTGATTCTGAGGCGTCCGGTAATTCTAGTTACTTCAGTGTTTTATCACCACACAAGTTAAAGAATCTGAATTTCGCACGCTTTCCAAGAGATATTTCATCTTTCAAGTAAGACCCCGAATCTGAAGGGATGTGAGGTACACGGCGCATCCGAGAAAGGGTCTAGTTGTTGCGCGCGCTTCAACTACGGCTCCTTGGACAAACAACCTCAATTCAGGAACAATCGAGAGAATTCTGAAAGTGTCCGTGCGCATTTACAGGGAGGTGTACACCATTCAACATTGCGTTAACGGACTCTTCAGGGTTAAATTTATAAACATGTAACCTTTAAAGTTGAGAAACGCTAATCAATCACTTTTCTTAGAAAGAGAAAAGCAGTGATTCCAAATCTGCTCTTACTTTAGTACATAATCGCCCTTAAAAGGATATACAGCCGTTGAAATAGTGCCAATGTAGCGAAAAAGTACCTTTCGGCGGTACTCGTGCGAAAATCCTCAACGTAGCCGTTTTTTTAATACTGGACGTTTGGAGCAGTTCTAGTAAGCATTTGATAGAGCAAATCTTCTAGTTTATGATGGCGTATTTACTTTTCGGATTGGATGAGTTTGAACGGAGTTATGGCTTTAGGAAGTAAAAAAACTCGCACTCATCACAAATTTTCCTCGTTAAATTTTGCAAAAATCCTCAACGTGGCCATTTTTTGAATACTGGACGTATAGAGCTGCTTTAGCAACGGTTTGGTAGAGAAAATCTTCTAGTTTTGTCTGCCATATTAACTTTTCGAATTTGACGAAAATGAAGCAAGTTGTTGCTTCGGAAAGTGTAAAAACTCGTGCTCATCTCGAATTTTCCTCGTTAATTGGCCTAAATTTGTTATTTCTTATAACTTTTTGTAATTTCTATACTGATTAGAAAAAGCTCTTCACAAAACTTCCAAATCTGCTTTCAGATTGAAAATTCGTCATATTTGAAGAAAGTTATAATCATTTGAATATTTGTTCAAATTTCAATAGTAAATAAGCTGCTCCACGGTCAACGCCAAAGTCCAGTCAACACACAGCTGGCGAAGGCGGTTAAAAAGCTTCTTTCAACTGAAGGGCTACGTGCAAATTGAGAACCACAATCTGTGTAGTACTAGAATTTGGTAAGTCTTGTGGAGGAAATAAATAAGTAGTATTGTCATTTTCTGGTTAGTTTCTCGTCGTTTGTAGGACTCATCAATAATGATTATTCTTTGACTTTTTCACTTTTGTACTTCTTAAACGAATTTTTTGTGGGCGGTGGGGTAGCAGGGCTTTTTTATGAGCAGTTTTGGGGGAGAATTAAACAAGCTTTTCAACCTTTTCATAGTTCGGCTTTTGAAGAGGGTTGTTTCATGGACTTCGGCCTCCGGCGGAGGGTGGGGGGGGTCGTATTTCCAAATTTTCCTCAACGCCTCGCTTGACCCTGTGCAGAGGGTAGGCTACCGGCTACCGTGCTGTTCACAAGGGTAACGAAGCCCATTTCGATTCGGGCCCACACCTCGCAAGTGCCCGCATGGGCTTGCCGAAAACGTTTTCTCTATGAAATTAGCTTTGGATACGGCGACTTTTCAAGCCATCCACTATACCTACCACAAACATATTTGTGGGTGGGTGAGGTAGCAAGGGGGCGTTCCGTAACGCGATTCATTAATACACATGAGATCTGGGAACAAACCCATTTAGGTGGATTCCACGTTGGCGCTTCCGCCAGTATCCACACGGACACAAATCCTTCACTTGCCGTTGACGAAGTTATTACGAGCTTGCGTCCATGGCAAACTGAATACGGTTGGAACGCTTGAACATGAGAATACGGTATTATTGAACATATTCTCCCACAATTTGATAGCAGTTGTTCAGCAGGATCAAAGTTGCGTCTGCGATTTGGGATGGGGTGGACCGAATTGTCTGACGCGAATTTGCCTAAATGGAGGTAATATTTCAGTATCGTATATGTTACCATAACCATGTATTACTTTTTTACGAGCTACCGTATTCGCTTGAGTTCTCCTACAGGAACTTAGAAGCGTTCTCAATAAAACGTGATTGAATGAACAATTAAGCATTTTGCTTTGAAGGCGGATTTTACGTCGAAAAAGCAACTTATTGAAAAATGAATTAGAGATAGTCAGTGATGCACGAAAGAAGGAAGAAACCATGAGAAAACGGCCAGAACCCGAGAAATGGGACCCCTTCCTTGCCCGTTGATTTCTGCATTGATGCGACTCTCATCGCTGCTGCCCTCTTCAACGCTACGCTCTCTCTCTGCTAAACGGCTAGAGACTCAGACAGCAAGAAGGAAGGCGTACTGCGTTGATAGCATACTATTTAGACATAGTATAGATAGATTTCGGAAGCACAGCCCGCTGAGATGGAACGTGGTCGTGTCAAACGTGGTGGTCAGCAGGGTTAGTATCAATACCACTGTTCAATAGACCTCTACAAAGAAGCACTAAGTCTCCCATAAAAGAAAATTTCTGCCACCATCCGAGTTTACACTGCCTAGAATTTCGTGAGAAGTGGACTGAGCAATGACCAGCAATGAGCATGTCCGCCCAGTACGACAATTTTTTTTCTGAAAGGCACAGCCCTGGCAAAAGTCGCGGCGTGAGCCCTTTGGTCTAGGGCAGATCCTGAGAGGTTAGTCACGGATGTGGCGTTGCCATGCATGAAAACCGCCCGACAAGGAGCGCTAGGGCCTTGCAAAGTAAGCTGCAGCAGCTGCAATGTTTTGCATCAGGCTGTTGTCTGGCGCCCTCTCATCTGTTGCGCTCTCTCGCCTCATACTCTCCTCTCCGCGCTCAGTCTCTCATTGCCTTAGCACAGCCGATTACGAAGGTGAGTAAGCCCTTAACCTGAATGTTTTGAGGGTTCTTTTCCTTTTTTCCTTACTGCTGGCCCATTTCTCACAAATACCTTCATATTTAGCGCGACAGTGCGCGTTTTGGGTTTTCACCGCGACGCGGGGCCGGAGCAACTTTGCAGGCACCGTCGCCTCTTGAAGTGAACGCTTTCAAGTGCACGAAAGCAGTTGGACTGTGTGAGAAATATTCACGTACTTCAATTGGGCCATCTCAAAATCTCCAGATTACCCCAAATCGTAGCTCCTAGAAGTTTCCTGTCGTGATTTTTATTTTGTAAAAATATTTCGAAATTTTTTGCAGGAACAACACTCCCAGACAACACTTGCGGTTGTATTCCCGCCAAATATGGCGGCGAATTTTGCCAGATAAGTGAGTTCTCAGAAGTTTTGTCATCAAATAATCATGATTATAAGTAGTTTTATCGTTTAGGCTTGCCAAGCTGTTCCTCATCACCCCAGTTACCGTACCTCGCAAACGAGGTGGCGTCACTTATCTTGGTGGTTGAGCGGTCATCAGCTCCGTTCAGTCTAGACGTGACTTCTGGAATTA